GATTACTTGGATGTATCAAATAGAAGCTTTAAACAATTAGATTTTTGGATTAGTAATTCATTAGGAAATGAAATTAGTTTAAATGGGGTAAATGTATCCCTGTCATTATTGTTTGTGAAAAGCGATATTATTTAAATATATTCTTTAATTTTTCCATATAGAAAATATATAGAATATATTATATGTCAAGTATTGTGGTAGTAGATGTTAATAATGAAACTAAAACAGAAGAAGCACCTGTTAATAATGAAGTCGTTGAACAAAATGAAACAGTTAATGAAGAACCAACGCCAGAAGAAGTTAAACCTGAAGAAGTCATTCCTGAACCAAAAGCGAAAGCAAAAGCATTACCAAGAACTAAAAAAGAAGTTGAATTAGTAGAATGTGAACAATGCTCTAAAAAGATGACATTGAAAAGTTTGAGACACTCACATCCTAACAATTGTAAAGGGGCAAAAACCGAGATGCTCCCAGTCAATCCACAAAAGAATATTAGAAAGATACAACCAGAAGTAAAAGAAGAAATTAAGAATGAGATTAAACAAGAAGTGATTAAAGAAACTATTAAGAAACCCACGGCAACAGAACTATTAAGCCAACATTATGAAGACCTTAAACAAAAGAAAAAAACAAGATAAACAAGAAAAAATAAACAAATTATCTTCATCAATGTTTTAAATAATAATCTAATTATAATATATATATATATATATTATTCATGCTTACGAGAAGTCATAGAAATGTAGAATTTAAAAGGGCGCCACAAGTAGAACGTCATTATAATGTTTCAGATTTATGGGGAGTTGCTTCAAGAATGAATTATTTTAAACAGTTGAAGGACACACTGGAAGCGAGACAATCACAGGGAGCATTAATAAAGTATAGAAATGATTTAGCTGAAAGCAACAGAACCGAAAGTTACAGAAAGGAATTACACAGAATAAGAAACATATTAGACAACACACGGTCACCAGACGGAATACAAACAAAGGAACAACTAACTGTAAGAAAGAAGCATTTAGAAGAAATGATTAAGAATATCTCTGATTAATTTATTTTTCTAAATAATTAATATACTATGATTAAATCAATGAATAGATTGAATACAGTAGGACCGGTAAAAGTAGGGTCATTGAAATCACAATTACATTTGAGACCTTCTTATGATGAATTATTGAAAGAAACATTAGTAGGAGATGAGAACCGTCCATCAATTGAAAATGTAATAGACAGAAAAGCAACCAGATACAGATTAAATCAATACGGTAGTCAGTTTGATAATAAGGACACCTTGGACATTCAAAAGAAACAAGAACTAGACCGGAGAGGTGAAGTTATGAAAGGAGCAATGTCGGACGCTGGCAGTGTAAGAGCTAAACTTAATGACGAACTGAAACTTGCTGACACACTGAAACAACACCAGTCTTTCATTCAAGAAGGACTAACGGAAGCACAGAAACAGAAAGAAGAACTTGCAGAACGAATGAGACTTTGGAAAGAACAACAAGAAGAAATGGCAAGTGCTGTTTCAAAGAGTTCAATACCTGCTGGTGTAGAAGTCCATTCAATGGCAAAAGACGACGAAATGCCAGAATTAGAACCATTAGAGGAAGGGGAAGAAGAAGATGAACGAGAAGACGACCCAGTTGTTGAAGTAGAAGCAATGAAAAAAGGTAAAGATGATGACGATGACGCGCAAACAACCGTTACTAATGCTGAGATAATGGAAATGCACGAAAAAGCAAGCGAGTTGGAATTACAAAATGTCGAAAACGAAGAAGTTGATGACGAACGAATTTTCAAAAATTATTTAACTAGTATAAAATGGTTGTGGCCGGTGTATTTATCGAAAAATCCGGGAACTATGATGGATAACATAATTTCAAAACTACATCAATTTAATGTAATAAATGCTGATAAATACGATGAGTTCAAAGAATTATTAGATGAATATAACAATGCAAGAACAACAGGAAGAAAAGGAATTCGTGCTCGGTTAGAAACATATTACAAAGACAACGTGTATAACAAATACTTCAAACAGAAATCAAGTTCATCAACTCAACAATAAAAAAAATCTATAATATTTAAATATGACTGATAAATATTATGGATTAAGACGACGGCCTACATTTGAGGAAATGCTGAAAGAAGCGATGACGCACAGATTAAAAATTGAAATCATCCCCGAAAGACAGACATTTGACACATCAATTAACAATATAGACTTTGATGATTTTGACCTTTCAAAATATGATAGGAGACTACGGTTGAATGCTAGGGTTCAAACTGATAAACAAGTTCTTAAACATGAATTGTTCCCTGATATGTTTGATGAAGTAGCACCGACGTCACAGTTGTATGAAAACAATGAGGCAGACGCACAAACAACACGATATGTAGCAAAGGAGTTAGATGATGAAAAATTCAGTGATGTAATTTCAGACAAGACTGAGGAAAAGAAAAAGTCAGATGAACCAAAAGATGTAAAAGATAATGAGTTAAAACAGTCTGATGAAAAGCAGGAAGATTTAACAAGTCTTCATTTAACATCATCATCGTCAGCATCAACCGTGAAAGAGGAAGAGAAGAAAGAGGAAAGCCGAGAAATAAAGTCGTTAAGAAACATATTTTTAGGTGGAGAAGACAAGAGCATATTTGAACTATTCAAACGTGACAAGAAGACATCCACACCATCAGAACAATCAAGAGAACAGGAAGAAGAACAACCGGGGGCATCATTCTGGTCAAGACGACAGGTAGAAGCAAGAAGCAGAAGCCACTCACCAGAAGAAAGAGCAAGAGGTAATCAAATGAACAGAAGACAATTAGAAACAAGAAGCAGGAGCAACTCACCCCAAGAAATAGCAAGAGGTAGTGAATGGACGAGGGAACAAATGGAAACAAGAAGCAGGAGCAGAAGCCCAGAAAGCACAAATACAAAAAGTAGCCGAGGTAAGAAGAAAAATAAAACTACTTAAAGACAAAACGCCCTAATATAGTAAAATGACAGGAATTTTCATTAACGGTAATAGTAAACAGAGAATAACGAATGACGAATTTGATATGATGGTTGAACTGATGAAAGCAGAAAACGACTTAGTCTTACAGATGATAAGCGAACAGAAACAGACTTCGAGCGATGACAGTGAGCAACCCGTGAGGTGGAGGGACGACCAGAAGAACTACCACCAGAATTACTACAACAAAAACCTAAAACAGTCTTACACTTGTGAGGACTGCGGAAGGACGATATCAAGCAAATCAAATTTATCTAAACACAAGAAATCTAAAATTTGTTCGCAAGCTTCGCGACAATGCGCATTATGAAAAAATAATAATCATTCATCTTATTAAAAACACTTAATGAGATTAATGCGTTCATTCTCAACCCGAAACCCATTTTCTCCAACAGTCAACCCCAGCCCGAAAAACTACTTAAAGAGAAAATACCTTATATTATATAGAGTATAGTATTATGGTTACCATGACAGAAGGAAAAATTATAGATTTCATTTTAAACAGCCAACAAGGCGAACTAATACAAAAAGAAGGGAGGCAAACACAAAAACTCAAAATAGGCGATAAGACCTACAGATATGATAAGAACAAACCAGTTTCAAACGTATTGAACACGAAACTCAAGGAAGTGGCGAGGAGTGACGGATATAGAAAGCATGGCCTTTTAATGAAAGGTGCTAATTATCTAAAACTAACGAGAGGCAGACCCTTACAGGATTATGTCAAGCGTTTCAAGTCCAAAATCACAGACGAGCAACAAGCGTTCAAGGGATACGCCAACACCTACTCGGTAAGTGATATAAGATTAAAGGGGATGAAAGGTTTATCCTACTTAAAAAATCATTATTTGTAAATAAATTACCTTTCATATATACACCTCCTTCGAAATATGATGTTCCATGTGCTTGAGCAAAATTATACGAAGTATGAACATTGCCGTTAATCGTAATTCTTGAAGCATTATTAGGTCTTCCAATAATAACATCTCCTGTATTCCATCCTAACCATAATCTATAAGGAGTAGCACCTGTTAGTCCTTGATAAGAGTCCAACTGACAACCTCTTTTGAATTCCAGTCGTTGGTTACTAACTGCGTCCTGGATTCTAAATATTGCATTAGTATTATCTGTTAAACTAAGTATTAATGGAGAGTTTACTGTTTGTGCAGTTGTATTAACTTTGTCTAATTTTTGACTTATTGATACATCCTGTGCGCTATCATTTGTAATTATTGTA